CCAGCCCCACCCCAGGGTTACCCAGCCACACCCCCAGGGTTACCCAGCCACACCCCCAGGGTTACTCAGCCCCACCCCCAGGGTTACCCGGCCCTGCCCCCAGGGTTACCAAGCCCCACCCCCAGGGTTACCCAGCCTCACCCCCAGGGTTACCCGGCCCCACCCCAGGGTTACCACCCAGGGTTACAGCCCCCACCCAGGGTTTACCAGCCACCCCCAGGGTTACCCAGCCCCACCCCAGGGTTACCCAGCCCCACCCCAGGGTTACCAGCCCCACCCCAGGGTTACCCAGCCCCACCCCCAGGGTTACCAAGCGCACCCCCAGGGTTACCCAGCCCCACCCCAGGGTTACCCGCCCACCCCCAGGGTTACCAGCCCACCCCCAGGGTTACCCAGCCCCAACCCAGGGTTACCCAGCCCACCCGGGATTACCCAGCCCCCACCCCCAGGGTTACCCAGCCCCACCCCCAGGGTTACCCAGCCCCACCCCCAGACACATCTCCAGGAGATGATCAGACCAGAAGTCACCAATTCCTGGCCATTGACAGGTCAGGTTTCCGCTCGGTTTGTGTTTGAGCTCTGTCCTGTGTGTGATGGGTAGACGGCGGGGTCGGGCGAGGATGGCGGATGGTGACGGGGTGCGGAGCCCGGCGCGGGAGAGGACACGGGCTGCAGAGTTCCGGATGATCTGCGGCCTACGGAGAAATAAATGGGTTTTCCTCGCAAAATCTTTTGACTATATTTATTTCCTGTTACATACATTTTTGGAATAGATGTAAAACATTCATTCTGTTAAATCATTTTCTCTTGTATATTGTTACTCCTCGTCGCCTTCCCCAGCCCCCTGTTTGTCCAGCACTGCCGTGTCGATCGCAACCTCAACGTAATCCTTCTCCAGAGAGGCCAGGTCCTCGCGGGCATCTGAGAACTCCCCTTCCTCCAGCCCCTCGCCCACGTACCAGTGGACGAAGGCTCGCTTGGCGTACATCTTGTCAAACTTGAGGTCCAGGCGAGCCCAGGCCTCTGCGATGGCCGTCGTGTTGGCCAGCATGCAGACGGCACGCTGCACCTTGGCCAGGTCACCCCCTGGCACCACGGTTGGTGGTTGGTAGTTGATGCCCACCTGTTGGGGAAAGAGAAGATCAGTGTGACTTGGTTTGGAAAACTCTACCCTTTGGGCCATAGACAACAACCGATGATATTACCTTGAAGCCAGTTGGGCACCAGTCAACGAACGTAATGGAACGTTTGCTCTTGATGGTGGCAATGGAGGCATTGACGTCCTTGGGCACCACGTCCCCCCGGTACAGCATGCAGCAGGCCATGTACTTGCCCCGTCGTGGGTCACACTTCACCATCTGGTTTGCCGGCTCGAAGCAGGCGTTGGTGATCTCGGCCACGGACAGCTGCTCGTGATAGGCCTTCTCAGCTGAGATAATGGGAGCGTAGACGGCCAACGGGAAGTGGATGCGGGGATAGGGCACCAGGTTGGTCTGGAACTCCGTCAGGTCCACGTTCAGGGCCCCATCAAACCGCAGCGAGGCCGTGATGGACGACACGATCTGCGCGATCAGGCGGTTGAGGTTGGTGTACGTTGGTCGCTCAATGTCAAGGTTACGCCGACATATATCGTAAATGGCCTCGTTATCGACCATGAAGGCGCAGTCGGAGTGCTCCAGGGTGGTGTGGGTGGTCAGGACGGAGTTGTAGGGCTCGACCACGGCAGTGGAGATCTGGGGCGCGGGGTAAATGGCGAACTCCAGCTTGGATTTCTTCCCGTAGTCGACGGAGAGTCTTTCCATCAACAGGGAGGCAAAGCCGGAGCCCGTTCCTCCTCCAAAACTGTGGAAAATGAAGAACCCCTGGAGCCCTGTGCACTGATCGGCCTGTGGGCAATAAAGAATTAGTTTATCATCAATTAGACAAAATTCTGTTCATGTCCCAGCCAAGGTTATTGCTTTCCATGGTGGACATGGAATCAATGACCTATTTGAATTAATCTGCCGCTAATCATCTCCACGGCTCTTGATTCAGAGGCCGGTGGAAGCGGATTCGATAACAACTTTTCAGAGAGAAGTAGATAATTATTTGAGGCGTTTGACAAGTTTGCAGGGCTGTGGGGGAGAGCGCGGGGGAGTGGGGTTGATCAGGGCTGTGGGGAGACAAAGGTTGGGGGAGTGGGATTGAATTGGATGGCTCCTTTTTCAAAGAGCCGGCAAAGACATGGATGGGCCGAATGGCCTCCTTCTGTGCTGTATACCTCTATGTAAGCCTATGATTCCAACGCCCCCACCTTGGGTGCAAAGCTTCAATTGTAGGCTAGACTTTCTTGATGGAAACCAATTGGATTGGATTGTGTTTGGATTACGTCTTGTTGTTGTTTACTCTAAGACCTTGTAGGCGTCTTTCTGTGATTGCCCAGAAGACTATCTGGATGGAAGCCAATCTGTTTGGTAGGAGGGTGAGCGAAGGAGTGGTTGGTCGAAGAGGAGAGTTGAGA